GATATCAAAGAGGTCATGCCACCTGTAGAGTTGAATGAGGGGAGCTCATTAATTGGCCAAACTGATGGTCCATTGGTACCAATGGTACGATTGGTACCAATAGAAAAGCACCCTATGCCAATGGTTCTGTTGGTGCATATGCATCTAATTAAGGGGACTTAGATTATTTTCCCATGTGACCTGGTTGGGTATAGGGCAATTCCAATGGTCCATTGGTTACCAATGGTACGATTGGTACCAATGGAAAAGCACCCTATTCCAATGGTTCTATTGGTGAATATGCATCTCATTAAGGGGACTTAGATTATTTTCTCATGTGGTCTGGCTGGGTACAGGGCAATTCCGATGGTCCATTGGTACCAATGGTGCGATTGGTACCAATGGAAAATGATGCCATTCCAATGGTTCTATTGGTGCAAAACAAGTTCACCTTTACACCAAGTGAAAACGCGCTAATAATTATTATGAACGTTCCTCGTTCTATAGGAAAACCACGCAAAACAAGTTCGCTTTTACATCAAGTAAAAGCGCGCTATAATTCTTATGAATATTCCTCGTTCTATATCCCAATCACGCAAAACAAGTTCCCTTTTACACCAAGTAAAAGCGCGCTATGATTCTTATGAATATTCCTCGTTCTATAAGCCAACCATGCAAAACAAGTTCGCTTTTACACCAAGTAAAAGCGTGCTATAATTCTTATGAATATTCCTCGTTCTATAAGTCAACCACGCAAAACAAGTTCGCTTTTACACCAAGTAAAAACGCGCTAATAATTATTATGAATATTCCTCGTTCTATAAGCCAACCACACAAAACAAGTTGCCTTTTACACTAAGTAAAAACGCGCTAATAATTATTATGAATATTCCTCGTTCTATAAGCCAACCACGCAAAACAAGTTCGCTGTTACACCAATTAAAAACGCGCCATAATTCTTATGAATATTCCTCGTTCTATAGGCTAACCACGCAAAACAAGTTCGCTTTCACACAAAGTAGAAACGCGCTAATAGTTACAAAGCGAGGGCGACCTATATATCTAGCGCTAATAATATCTCAAGGTGCTGTGAGTATAACAAACATCGTACGAACATTAAAATTGAAAGGTAACGCGTCACTGTCGGGTTCGTTCTGTCTATTGTGATTCACGAGCAAACAACATGACATATGAATGTCTTCTTTCCTGTACGCAAGCACTATTTTTTGGTAATTCTTACTTGTTAAAAGAACCCGAAACAACGCGGAAAGGCGCGAAACTAGCAAAGTGGTATTGAGGCAACAGGTTTTAACAACTGTACTCAACTCACTGTGAAATTAACTTCTGAAATTTCTTAGCGCAATTTCATTATCTACATGGAAGCGTTTAAACCAAAACAAGTTTTCAATGAAGAGTTTCCGAAAAGGGTGGTTATATCATGCTGTTGGTTATGACTTTGTATTGTATTTGGTGGCTCCTAAGAGAGCCGTTTTATATTCAAGTGACTGAGGTCACTTTTGACTGTTGACGTGGGGTTTGTCGTGGTAACCCATTGAGGTACACCAGTTTGCTATAATCAAGGTCGTAGTAAAACCATTGATGTATTTAATGTCAACGTTGTCGTTGACAAATTGTATTTGCCGTGCTCTTTTCTCGGCTGTAGCTTGCGATGAGGCCCAGGACTGAGCTAGAAGAATCCATCTACTGATGATTTCAGGATTGCACCCCTTGCCGTGGAAAAACAGCAGAAGTTTGAATGTCTCCTTATCACTCATAAACATATGAATCGACGGAGATTTTTAATGTTTAATGGATGCATATTCACCAATAGAACCACTGGAATGACATCATTTTCTATTGGTACCAATCGTTCCATTCGTACCAATGGACCATTGGAATTGCCCTTTACCCAGCCAGACCACATGAGAAAATAATCTAACTCTCTTAATGAGATGCATATTCACCAATAGAACCATTGGAATAGGGTGCTTTTCCATTGGTACCAATCGTACCATTGGTACCAATGGACCATTGGAATTGCCCTGTACCCAGCTAGACCACATGAGAAAATAATCTAAGTCCCCTTAATGAGAAGCATATTCACCAACAGAACCATTGGAATAGGGTGCTTTTCCATTGGTACCAATCGTACCATTGGTACCAATGGACCATTGGAATTGCCCTGTACCCAGCCAGACCACATGAGAAAATAATCTAAGTCCCCTTAATGAGATGCATATTCACCAATAGAACTATTGGAATAGGATGCTTTTCTATTGGTACCAATCGTACCATTGGTACCAATGGAGACCCTTCTTCTCACCACTAACACCAATGGAGTCTATTTGTGAGTATTGGACAACCCTCTAATTGGCTTATCAGAAGACAGAAAAGCTCTAAAAGAGGAACAGGATGAAGCATATCGAGTCTCTTTACTAACCGATGAGAAGGGGTGTGCTGATCTGGAAAGAAAGATTCATGATGAAAAATGCAAAGAAAGACTTCAGAGAGCCAGAATGGAGAGGGTACTTCCTGAACCGAGTAGTGATTTTGTAACTGTGAAGATTAGACACCCATCTTTAGGTTTACAATCAAGAAAATTTCCAACCCACACATTGATGAATTCAGTTTACGATTGGGCAGGTTCTTTGGCTACTGAACCAGAACACTTCACACTAAATGATCCTTTAGGGAAAATGCTACTTCCAATTAGTGAACTTGACGACAGGTGTACATTGACTATGATTGAGTCTCAAGAGGGAACCCCTTCTCTGCTGTCTTCTGATGATGAAGTTGATTTCTTGGGGTTTGGTCCAGCAGTTGACACAAGTGAATTTAGTGAATTGTTTACAGAGTTTGATGAACCAGACATTCAAGGAAGTCGAGATGCACAATATTCAGTGTTTGTATCATGATTTCCTACTTTCTTATATAGTTTCTTTTTAGCACCTTTGTAGGCTTTAATAATGCGTGTAGGGAAGCTGTGATGATTGTATCTTAGGACTTGTGGTTAATATGGACACCATAGGTCATGCTACCTTCAAGGAAGGTGGGTCTCTATGAGTATTAAGATACCATAGCGTTCCTTTTTATGAAGATGGTGTGATAGAAGACACAGAGGTCTCAAATTATTTTGCAAAATTGAGGATGCCATACACCTCAGGGTTATTTTAACTTCTTTGTTGTCATGCTCAGTAATATCAGGTAAATTTTGCTTTTAAAACAGCTGTTTTCAATGGCGTGTCTCTCATTTACTCTTAGTAGCCATGCATCTGCTAGGCAGAAAAATCTTCAACAAACCCAAGCACCATCTATCAGGTATTTATGATCGACATAATACTTATTATTATAGGTAGCATCCCAAAGCCATTTGTTTTATGTCACTATATTTGTATTTTGTAACAAATTTGTGTGATATTGGTATAGCCTAATGCAGCAAATATAATGTTTTAAGTGCTTCTGAATGAGTCCTGCATTACATGCAGGATAGATATAGAGAAAAGAGAGAAATATTATTAGAAATATTTTGCTCGTTCCACCTTCAGTTAACTATTATTTGACCTTTTTTTTGTTGTTGGGTACTCATCACTACAGTTTCTCTCGTTTTCTTTGAAGCAGTGCATCTGCTATAAGCGACAGTTCTGCCCAACCACAACCACCCTCTATCTCTATCAGGTATTTGGAAACTTATGTTAATTTCATATCCATTGACTATCAGTTACAACTACGGTTTATATTCTAAGTCTAGATTTGTAGCAAATATGTTATCCTGTAATACAGCTATCATAACGTTCTGCATGAATTTTTTCTTTCAGTCCTTTTTGATTATTGATCACAAATTTTCCATGAGAAATTCGGAACAATATAAGTGAAACACACACACACACCCCAAGGTGTCCGTCATTATCAGTCTTCTATGAAAGTGTCCTCAGATCCTATCCAGAGAGGAATAGCAATATTGTTGTTGTTGTTGTTTTTTTTAATTTACAAAATCTCAGGTATGCCCTGTCGGTGTAGACGCCCTTGGCTCGTGTGTAGAGCATTTTCACTTTTTTTCTTAGTTTGCGAGCCGGCGGATTTCTCCAAATGCTGTGACGTGATTTTGCTTCCGGGAGCAAGCGTTTTTTCCAATCTTCCTTGACAAAACTGGGTGGAATCGTTCTGGCAGCCTCATTCAAAAGTTTGTTCATTGTTTGTGAAAGAGGAAAAGCCGTGATTTTAAACCTTTTTTTCTTTAAAGTGGGACGCTTATTGGGACCAGCTAGGAAAAAGTTAATTTTCCTAGCTAGACTAGTTTGCTCACATTTCAGTACATCAACACACAGAATATGGAGGGTCACGTAAAATTTTCGTAAAACAAATGTAAAAATAAAAGTGTTATGCACCTTCGTTTTGGGCTGTACTCAAGGACCTCTTGGCAGGTGAATAACATATAAACTATTTTTGCATTGTACAGGTTCATCAGAATTCGAAGGGTCCAGATAATGTCTGATATGATTGAAGTGTTCAAGGATCGATCGGTTATGGAAGCTCGACTTAAAGTAACAATGATCAATGCACATGGCCAAGAAGAAGCTGGTTCCGATGAAAATGGAGTGTTTAGAGATGCACTATCAGCATTCTGGTCAGCATTTGAAAATTCATGCATTGTTGGAGAAGATGAACGAATACCAGTCATACGCCATGATTATCAGTGTCCCGGATGGGAGGCCATAGCTAGAATCCTTGTAAAAGGATTTTATCAACTTAACTTTTTCCCTGCTAAATTAAATCAAGCATTTATTATTGCCACCCTTTTTGGGGAAAATGAAGTGTCACAGGAAGTGCTACTCAACTCGTTCTTGTCTTATTTATCCAGGCATGAAAGGGCCTTGGTTGAGAATGCATTAAGGCACAGTTTGAACGATGAACAGAGTGAGGAGTGGCTTGATTTCTTAGATAGATTTGGGTGTAAGCAAGAACCCACGCCAGAACAAATCAGGGATACAATCCTAGAAATTGCTCACAAAGAGCAAATACAGGCTGGTCAGTACATTATCGATTGCTGGCATGAGCCATGCCGTAGTTTAAAAACAGTTATCTTCAACGTTAGTGAACTTGTTAATGTCCTAAATAGAGCTATCCCAACAAACAAGAAAGTGATCGATCTCCTTGAAGTAATCCCAGAGCCGCAAAATAATGGCCAAAGGGAATCAAATTCCTATTTTAAACGTTACCTGAGAGGTCTAGATACTGAAAGATTAATGAAAGTTTTGCGTTTCCTTACAGGAGCTACCGTCATATGCATGGACAAAATTAAGGTTACTTTCACTTCTCTTGATGGGTTTGAAAGGCGCCCGGTTGCTCATACATGTGAACCTTCCTTAGAATTGCCCTCCACGTACCGAAATTTTCCAGAATTCAGACAAGAAATAAACAACATCCTAGATAGTGAATTTTGGGAGATGGATATTGCTTAAATTATGACCCAAAAATAATGGCCAGAGAGATTTAAACGTTACCTGAGAGGTCTAGGTACTGAAAGGTTAATGAAGATTTTGCGTTTGCTTGCAGGATCTAAAATCATATGCGTGGTCAGAATTAAGTTCACTTTTACTTTTCTTGATGGGATTTGAAAGGCGCCCGATTAAGTTCCTCATACATGTGCATCATTTTTAGAATTGCCCAGGGCAGACCTTTTACTGAACTTCTCAATACACAGGAATGACATGGACAGTGCATTGGGAGAGACGGACGTTGCTTAAGTTATATATCAGTATTTCGTTTAGTTACTGTCATTGTTTTGTTTATCGTAGTTGCTCCAGTGTAAAGCATCTCTGATCTGTTGTTTGGCACCGTTAAAATTGGACACATCCTTTGTGTCAACGCTTTAAAAAACAGTGTTTTTCCCATTCCCCCATTTATTCTCAGAGAAGAAAAGGCTACAACCATTGACAGTTAATTTTAGGAAGTGCAGTTGTTCCTTTTTTAAAATAAATCTGTTGTAGTAGCCCTTATTTGGACAGTGTCACTTTCTTTCAGCGCTTTACATACCATGTTATGGTTTTTTTTCTGAACTGTTGAGTTGCGCATGTTGTGTGTATAACTTGATTATACTGTGGTACGTATATACTTTAGTGTGTCATTGTTAAAATCTGTATCCTAAACCTGTTAAATAGCATTTATTGTAATTTTAATTATCATTTTACGGTAGCAAATTGTGTGAGGTGGGGAGTGGGAACTACTACGGCCAATTTTGGATAGGTGTGTGCCGCGAAGGTTTGTAACCCTCCCATTTTCTTTTCTCGTTTTTTTCTTATGAAGACAGTTAGGTTCAGAGATGTGACGTAAACTTAGTTGAATGGTTTCCAAAGTAGCTGAAGAAAAGTAATCCAGGAACAGGTCTTCAGATCATCGTGAGTCCCATACTTTTCGGGTACCTTATCTAGGGACAGCAATACCGAGAGGAACCCTGTTTTAAAGGAACGATAACCACTGTAAAATCATCCTTCATCCCATGGCAGTTACCTATTCATAGCCTAAATATAATAGTAGTTCCCTCCTCCTTCCCCTTCCTCACCTCGATCCATCTGGAAATTGATATTATTGACTTTGAGGTAATGTAGCTCAGTAATAACTTTACTTGTAAATTAGGTGTCTAAGTAGGTTTCCTTCCTAAACCTTAACAACCATTGTGTTTTTAAAGTACTTTGTCCCAAATAAAGGACAGTTTATTTGATTCATAGGTTTTGCTCAATAGTTTCATATTGCAGACTGGGGTACATGCCCCACATCACTGGAAAGAACGGAAAAAAGATTACAGTTCATTATTTACTGGGTTGGCCGAAACAGGTAGAACTGAAGTGACCTGGCCTTAAGCGATTTCGGTTTGAAAGAAAGGCGTTCGATGAAATACCAGGCATTGAAATAGTGAGGTTCTTCTTGAGAATTAACAAATCAAACGTTTATTACAAATTACATGAAGCTATCAAACAAAGATCGCTTCTACAGTAATCGGCCAATCTCTGTTGACTAAGCTGCCCGTGTCTGGACAGACACCATGGCTTGCTTGGGTGCTTCTAAAGGTGAGTAGCTCACTAACTTGTCAAACCTAACCTGTCTGTCTCTTTGTCCAGAATTCTGCCAGCTCAGGGAAGCCACGACAATCTGAACATAAACATAGGAAACTTGTCTAACATCCTTGTTCTGGCAAGGACCCTGGCGAGTTCAACATGAAAGCTCTCTAATAAACAGTTATTCGCTAACGCTAAGTCATTTTCTGCTTTGATAACATGGCCCTTTTTTTAACTCCTTGAAATTTGAAATTGCAGTAACCCATGCACTTGCGAAGGCTGAAAAACACATGAGTGCCGAACGCCTGGAACACTACTACAGCCCCCCTCCGCTCACCCCCCCTGTATGCTTACTTTCCTTTAATGACCGAACAAGTTAGTAAACAACTAACAGGGGCGTAGCCAGCCAATAAACCTGTAGGCTCGGGCCTACAAATTTTTTGTTTGATCACTCTACCTTTGTGTAGATATTATATACGCTATAAACGACAGGTAAAATGAAAATTTGGTCGCAAGTGACAAATTGTCTCTTGCCGTCATCGTAAAGCTAAAATCACTATATAGTTGGTGCCATCCTGTGTTATTGGAGTTTTACAAGACCTAGCACTTTGTAAATCTAGTGTTTCGAACTTTCATTAGGTCAAGATGCTGTATTGCTGGTTTTATACATTCCTCCTCGCGAGTTTGCGATTAACGTTTGCCCCCCCCTCCTCCTCCCCTTCCTTACATCATCTACGTCAGTTCATACGAGAGACTGGCAACATACTATTATACTAAATCATCAATGCTCTGAAGTAAGGTAGAGTACAAGGTGACTGCATCTTCGGCTGTCTCAGGCATATCAAGGTTTTGTTCCTGCATTATAATTGATGCTAACTGAGTGAACTCGACACAACAGCCACTTTCTGCATACCTATAGCAACATCTTTGCTCCGCAAGTTCAATATCATCAATGTCCACATCTTGTTTAAGGTCTGCTCCTCCAGTGACGTCTGGCACAAAATAAAGCATGTCTGGACGACCACTTGGAGACTCAGCATTGTTCGTTGGCCTTATCTTATGTAAGTTCCACAATACAGCCACTTTATTTGCGAATGAGAGACATGAAGCAAAACTTAAGACATTCAGCCTGTACTGCATCGTTTGCGCAGTAAAGACCGGAGTCCCTCATATCTTTGAAAAAACGGATCTACCAATCCGAGCAGCCTCTTCTTAGAATACCCCACCAAGCCTCTATACGCTGATTAGCAACGGATTTTCCCTATAAGAAACTTTTATCTCCAGCCCAACTGTCGTCCCCATCACGTCTAAAGCGCTGTACAGCAGCGACATAAACATTCTCTGTTCCCCCGTCACCACGTATTATCTTGGCAGTTCCACCGATTTGCCTGATAGTGTCCACAAAATATTGGGCTATGACAGAGGGATCATTGTTAGAAGGACCAACTTCTAACCACATGATTCTTCTGCTATAGCCGTCAATTGCACCGTGTACACAAAAACCAAACGGTTTCAACTTGTCATATCCGTCAATATGCCATATGTGATTAGGACCTTTTGTGCTGTACTGCCTTCTCCGGAGTCTCCGACTTGATCTTGCGGACACACCATAAGGATCTAATATCTTCATCAATTCTCTAACTGTCTCTTTGCCAACAACTAGCCCGTGATCAACTACCAGCCTCTGAGTCATTTGCCTATACCCAATAGTGCTACCACTGCCTCGTAGTTCCTCCTCGATAGCTTCGCAAACCTGCCGTGGATCAGTCCTATGAGCTCTTCTTCCAAGACCACGACATCTCAGTATTCGCTTTAGTTGACGAATACTTAAGCAAATGCCATGCAAAAGAAACAAACACATCAAGATCTCGCTGTAACCCAGACCTAGATGAAAGAAGTGGTCGATTATGTCGTCACATTCTGCATGTGCTGGGAGAGAGAAATAGCCTGGCAGAACACATGTAGAGGGAATTACTATAGACAGCAACATCGTATAACGAAAAATTCTTGCGGCCATTTTGTTTGTGCTTAAATGTCAGCGGATTTACTCTAAAGTCAGGAGGAAAAGTCGAGAAAAAAGTCGGGAAACAAACTTAAAGGCGAGAAAAAAGTCAAGACAAAAAATTGAGGGCAAAATTTGAATGGCACTTACTGGGCTCCGTAAGAATCTGAAAGCTCGCTTAAGAGGTAATGGTCTACGTCCCTGAGTCCACGGCAACGAAAAAGGCATTCCACATAACGGAACTCCTTACGTATCCTTGCAACATGTTGTAAGCTTCATTGAAAATTACGCTGGACGAGAAGGCCTTTCCGTGCCAGGCAGGGTTCCAGGCTACAAGACTATTCATCACGTCAAGCTTCTGCCTATTGCCACCACCAAAGCAGAGCTGTGGAGATGCTACAAACATGCAGCGGAGTTTGGAGGGTACACAGTTGTGGGATACACAAAATTTGTTCAAACTTGGAACGAATTCCTTCCCTTCATTAAAATAATGCAGCCGTCAACAGGTCTTTGTCACACCCGCCAGAAAAATACAGAAAAAATTTCAGGACATGCCAGCAATTCAGAAGAAGACAAAATTGAAGCTGTGGAAGCCCACCTGAATCATCTCAGAAAAGCCAAACGAGAACGAGAAATATATAATTCTGCTATTGATGTTAGTAAACATTTTCTAAAGGGTCACCCAAACATCACACTTCTTTCACCCAGTCATCCCTGTTCTTTGCAAGGGACTGTGCACTATTCTTATGATTATGCCCAACAAGTGCACTATCCTAGCAATCCTCAACAAGTGGGTTCCATTTACTTTAAAACGGCAAGAAAATGCGGTATATTCGGCATGTGCTGCAAAGCTATACCGCGTCAAATGAATTATTTTATTGATGAGTCAGTTGCAACTGGAAAAGGTGCAAACACGACAATCAGTTACATACACGATTTTCTTTAAAACCATGGAGCTGGTGAAATAGATGTTCACTTTCATGCGGACAACTGAGGTGGCCAGAACAAAAACAACTATGTTCTCTGGTACTGGTGCTGGCGTTGCATCCATGGTCAGCATGAAAACATAACATATTCTTTTTTGGTGGCAGACCACACCAAATTTAGCCCTGACTGGTGCTTTGGGCTGATGAAGCAACAGATTAGAAGAACATTAGTGTCACATTACAACTTCACGCCGATTTAAGTGTGTATTTCAGAAATGGGCATAACCGCTGGATTTTGTACCATGAAGGCTCAATTTATTCCTCCGGACTTTCCCTTCAAGAGTGCTCGTTTTGACTCGGTTCAAAGAAGGTGAGATTTTATGGCGGAAGACTCAGAAGCAAATTCAAAGGAACTGAACAATGGCTTAATTAAGCTGCCCAGGGCCGCGAAGTTTGAAAGGTATCCTTCTGTTCTAAGTGTGTCAATAAAACTGCAGAGAATTATCGCACATATTGCAGTAGAAGTTTATGGATTTAAGTCTTTCGCAAAACTTCTTCCACTTGGACACGTATTTTTCAAAAAGGAGAATTTTGAGAGCTTCAAAAAGAGATCTTGAACGAGAAATTTCGACCACTGTGGACCGAGATTGGATTTTTTTTCTTGCCGAGGTTTCGAAGTACAAAGCAAGCCGCTGAAGCATTTTTTTTCTCGCCTATCGCTTAATAAAATCCGGCCGAGAGTTATCCATTCATTCAATCATAACAGTTATTCATTTCTCCAGAGCAATGAAACTATACAAGCGTTTCTACAAAATTATTTCCAGGAATTATGAACTCCACAAGTTTTGATCTGTCGATTACAGCTCTTGTTTTGATTTTAGATATTTCCCGTCTCACTCGACTTCTCCACGAATCAAGTTGTCATGCTAATCGGTGAACTGACAATACGCGGTTATTTCGGGCCCTGTAGTCACGTAACTGAAACGAAAGGTTTTGTTCAACAAAAAAAAAACTGAAAGGCAAGCGAAAACGTCCAAAAAAGTGAAACTACACTCTAATAAAACTGTGTCATCCCGTTAAATGCATTCACCGCTTGCGTTGTTTACATTTAAAAAAGAGTTGTTCGCTCTTGACTGCAGAGCTACTGAAAGAATAAAACGTTCTAATAAATAACTTCCGCAGCAATTCTTTAAAACGCCAATTTATTTTCAAGGCAAGAGAGTATTTAATAAAAAAAAACTATTGGATACCAGGTATTTATAAGCTTTAATCAACTTCAAATTTATCAGGCTTGTTTCCTTTGTAATACGGTGCGTGACCGAAAATATGTTATGCAACCACAGTTGTCCGCCACCCTTAAAAGACTTGTAAGCGTTTCCACAGACTGCAGCAAATTTAACAGGCAAGTCTGAGTATTATAATGGATAAATTTAATACTTAGGTAATTTAGGTAACAATGGGGATTAAAAAGTCAATCAAGCAACAAAATTCGAAACAAAAGAGACATATCGCACCTAAATCAAAGGAATTCCACTCGTGGGATCTTCGGAAGGTAATCGACAATGGCAAGAACAATAGCCTGAATATATGAATACTTGATAACCCCCAAATTTGGGGTACACACTTAAATCGGCGTGAAGTTGTAATGATCTCTGTTTGACATCCTGCAGGCCAACGACAAATCGACCCTCAGCGGAGTGAATTGTGGCAAGCTGGTTAGGTTGCATGATGGAACTGTTCTGGTTAAAACATATGACTTGTCAGGCCATCTTGCTCCTTATTTCAAAAAGTTAACGGGAATCAGCAAATTTCACCACTTTCGCTTCAACAAAAGTTATCCAGGGAAGGCTTTTTACAAGGAACATGCAGATGCAACAGAGGAAGAATTTCAAATGTTGAAAGACGCAAGCATACTCCCTCCCTGTCTCCTTCCTCCACAAGTATTACCTAGTGGACTTGATGACAAGCGAAGGAGATATCTGCACAAAGAAATTAGAGAGTTTTGTCGACCTGGCAAGGAGGATTTTGTGGCCCCAGTAGTACCATAGCTTTTCCATGCATTGTTGTGAAATTAATATTTAGCGCCTCACAACATTAGGGAAGAAATAAAAAAAAGGGTCGGTGAATGAGAAATAAACCATATAAACACAGCACAATCATAAACACTTAGTTGACTCGAATCATTTCAGGCATTGAAACTGAACAAGATTTTGACTCAGACCCAGAAGACAACATGCCACTCAAACAACTTGTCCAGAAGAAATCGGCTAGCCCGAAGAAGAATGTTTCAGAAACTAAGTGGTACGAAGAGTACATTTTAAAAAGAAATCTAAAAGTAACAACGGACCAAGAGAGAACTGCCAAAGAAAAATTTACCTAAAAAAAGATGACATCAGGGAAGCAGGCTCAAAATGAGAGCAGAGTCCCGAACATTTAGTCGTAGGTTAACCACAACCTAGGCAGCCTGATACAGTGAAACACCTACGCCAGGAAGTTGTTTCAAGCAAAGAGAATGTAGAAAACCCACAGCCAGCACTCCAGGACCTTGACGATGTAATGGCTACAGAGATGGATGATACAGATGTAGAGGATGAGAATCGGGATGTAGAGAGTGACTTTGAAGACCTGAGAGGAATATGGCATGATGACATAGATTTCAATCCGGACATCGGACAAATTTCTCAGGTAGTAAAGTCTGATATCCTTAAGTCCCTATAGAAACACTTCTCTCGGTTACTCCGTCAAACACTTTAGGAACTCCATCCTCACATGTGCTCTAGCAAAAATTGATTTTTCTTGTTTCTGTTACTCACTTTTTCTGTTGTTTTTCTTGAACTTTCCGTGAGGTGAAGTACTCTGTTTATTAGTCTATTTATAGTGGCAATATTGTGTGTTGAGCAGTTGTCCTAGGCGTTTTGCTGTACCGCTGGATGTCTCTCTGTTAGTACTTTTCAGTGTTACGTTAGTTGCTCCTTCCCCTTTATTTGAAGCTTTATTGAGTGACGTTTTCTAAGGTTCGAGTTACAGGAAAACAAGTGTAAATCTACTATCATCATGGTGTTTTTCGCACTACAGTAAACGATTGTTTTACCTCATAATTATTCCATCTCTGCCTATTTCAAAAGATGAAGTAACAGTAAGCTGTTCAGGACATTCACTGAATAACAGAATCGACCTAATTCACTTGATATATATTTATTTAAATAAATAAAAATCATAGTTTAAAAAAGTACAAGGGAATAAGTTATATTCCTATGCGCTAAGAGGGGAAGTTAGTTGTAACGCATGATGACATAGTGCATTGCAATTATACAATCAGTGGTACACTTTTATAAGAACATCTAACCTTGAAGCTGAGGTGGAATGATCTTACTCAACTAGCAGCATGATAAATGATCTTAATACGTCCTTATAATATTGGTTAATAATTCTTATAAAAAAGAGTATATCCCCACAACTCTCCCTTTTTAGTTCCATGCTTCTGTTGTCAAGTATCCCCCAGTACCAAATGAGAACCTTGGGAAGGCCCTTTTTTAGGTTGAATGTGTACGCAGCATGCAATTGAGTCACGAAAAGCTCACTAAGTAGCTAATATAGGACTATCAGCTGTTTGGCTTAGTCTTAAAACCAGTTCAGGAAACACATAAAACCAAACCATTATTCTCTTTAAGGATGTGAAAACAGTAAAGGATTGGGTAGAGGGCCTGCATAGAAAGGGCGATCTACTTTTCAATTTGGTGTCAGCAACAGAAGCGAGATTAACTGCTATAGAAGCTGGAATTTGCTTTGTTCCTTTTTCACCCCAAGATCCACACATCCAGTTTCCAAGCACTAGCATTTTCAGTATTCAATTGCCAGACCAGCCAGCCTCTCCACAATCACAAAATCGGAGTAATGCCATGATCACTTCTGTGTCATCGTCACAGACAACCACATCTATTTCACGATCTGTACAACTTGAATCCTCCACGAAGAAAAATCCACAGTCGACTCCAATCAGACTAACTCCACAACCACAACCTTTACCAAGCATCTCTCCCATCGTTTACAACCTGCCGCAGGAGACAGCCCAGAAGCTGAAAAAATGTCGGCAAAATATTTCTTCCAGAAAAAGGTACACTCGCAAATGTTTAGAAGAGCCTTTCAGCGCAGACGAACTTGCTACATCAAATGTTAGTGGCACCTCGGGTAAGGACAAGCTCGATGAATGCAAGATTGGACTGATAAGTCGTCAGTAGTTATCATGGATTACAATGTACATAGTTAATCCTTCTAGCAAAAGAATGTTGCAGCTCAGAGAAAAGAAACCCATATAGATTTTTCCTAATAAAGAATAAATCAAATCACCAGTTCACACTACAAAGAAAAGTTGGAAGAGAAGAAAATCTGCTGGACTGAATTGGTAACTCTGAATTACTATTTAAATAATCTTCTCTTTTTAAAATTAAACTGTCACGCACCTGGGGTCACGCAATAAAAAAACATCAAAAAGTGTTCTTTTGAAAGTGTCCTCTCACAAATTCATTAGAAACCTCTTTTATTTTAGAAATCAAAGGAAGAAGTGTTTAAATTTCGCGAGATAAATAAAGACACAATTCAATCACTTGCTAACTAAATTTAATTTCTTGTTTTAAGATTAGTGTTAGCCACGTTGCCTCCCGATCTACAAGTGGAAAACGTTAATGATGTGACCAGGGAGATAGTATCCACAATTAACCCTGAAATGTAGGGAGTTGAAGAAGGTAAAACGTTGTCCTCAAACCACCTCCGATGTCTGACACTTGCATGCTTTTTATCTGATAGTGTTGAATCGTTACTCGGTGGGCAACAAATGCAGACTGGCGAGGTAAACGAGGTAAACATTGTTGTGAATCGTTCCCTATCCTTAAACTTTAACTCTTCTAAAAATCTAGTTCAGGGATAGGGAACCTGTTTATGCATTTCACAACAATGTTTACATTGCCAGTCTGCGTTTGTGGCACACCGTAAATAAATGGTATCCACGATCTTACAGTTAGAGAGTAGACAAGAAATATGATGACTCGTTCCTCTCTTTTGCATTGAACCTGCTATTTTGTACAAAGCACACCCTTGAATTTATAATAAATAGTTTATTTTTTATGGTATTTTGGGTGCAAGTACCTGAGGTGATATGACAAAATTTTTGGGAGATATTGTGTTTCAGACTGCCGGGCATTTGAGCCGGAATCGCGAGTTGAACAGATCAGATCACGCAAACTCTTGTGTGCTCAGGAGCCTCAAAAAGCAAAAACAAATGATTAATTGACAAACAATATCAGCATATTTGTTTCGCATAGTTGATATAAGCCAGCTGCACACTAGTTATGATCCTGTTTGTAAAGTCGCAGAATTTTTAAACAAAGAATACGTACCTTTCAGTTCACTTTCCCATTGAGTAGGAGAGGTCAAATCATGACAATTTTTTTTGAGCCCAGGCAAGCCATAAACTTATATGCTGCAAAGCCGCTGTCATTAATCTCAAAAAAGGAAAAACTGAAGTAATGGTTTTCGGAACTGCAAAAAGATTAAGTGGTTTCGATGGCAAAGAACTAAACCTCTCAGTAAATGGATCTCGTATTGTCACGACTATCTAGGTGTCTATCTGGACCCTACATTAAATCTTGACATGCACTTTTACAAAACATACAAGAAAGCTGCAGGACGAGTGTATTTATTACGACGAATCCGTTCTAACACTGACACCTTAAGCGCTGAACGAATCTACAGAGCAATGATAATGCCGATATTTACTTATTGCGGTCAAATTACGCTTGGTTGGTCAGAGACACGAAGGTGCCAAATAAGAAACCTGGAACAACGAAGCCACAGGATTATTCTGCAAAACTCAAAATGTCTAAACTGTGAACTCCGTCTATCCTCAATTGAAAATTTTGTAAAGAAAAAGGCTTGTTTATTTGTTTTTGATTGCCTAAAAGGCAATGTTTGTAGTCCTTTCAAAGATTATTTTAATCTTTTAATCCACGATTTTAATACAAGGAACAACGGGACTACCATTGCTTTGCCGAAAGTGAAACTTGACTTTGCTCGGAAAAGTTTTTACTTTTTAGGCGCTTCAGCTTTTAATTCTTTACCTTTAAAAATCAAGCAAATTAGCTGTAGGATACTATTTAGGGAGTCTTTAGATCAATTTTTTGTATAGTGTAGTTAGTTAGTTGCGTAGTCATTCTTATCCTATTTTAGTTTTTATCCTTATATTATGTTATTATGATAGGACCCCTTTGATAACAGTGCTATTGCACTGAAGGGCTATCCTGTATAAATATTTGTTATTATTATTATTATTATTATTATTATTATTATTATTATCCTTTTCCCAATAGCATGGCAAATTTAAGTTTATAAGTAAATAAAACAAAATAAAGTTGAATCACTTTCTAGAGATAAATTGAATTTTATCTGATGTCTGACTTCTGAACATTTTAGTTGATTTGGGAATCATCACAAAAATATTCGTGACAACCACAAAGCAACATATCACATGACAGAGTTTTCTGTAGTGATAACATCTGTCGAAAGTTAAGATGCAGAAAGAACGTAGGTAAGATTTCATAGCGTGAAGCCCCCAATCGATTTCACAGTGTGAAAATTTTCACTCCTATATTCATGGCATGAAAGTTTTTTCACCAGAGAGTGAACATGGCGTGAAATTTTGAATTCACGCACCATGACCGTGAAAAAATTTCCTGATTTTCGGTGAAATCCATAGGCCCCCTTTTCGCGCGAGGGGTCACAAAAGAAAACCCGCGAAAAACTCCCATTTAGCCGCTGTGGAAAACAACAGAAAAAGCTTAGAAAACAGCATGTTCATCAATGTTTTCCTAGAGATGGAAAACTGTAGGTTAATGAAATGTTTTCCTTGTGTTAACTATCAACGAATACTGTAGGAAAATGTCGCACAAACTGCGTGTTTACTGGTCTGGAAAATACAGGTAAACGCCATGGAAAATATGGTGTTGGCCTGAGATTTTCATGTGCAGGAAAACGCTAAGTAAACTCTCAAATTTCCTCGGATTCATACCAGGAAAATTCGTAAGTTGCGGGACGTATTCAGAAGTGGGAAAACAGTTGGTGAATGCCAAATTTTCTAGGTGAAGAAGGGTTTCCTTGCTGTATTAGCATTTTATTTTTGTACGACTCAACCCCGTGCTACAAACAAAGGATAACGCTCGTCCAACTGCAGTTTGTAGTTCGTTTTCACCGTATCTTAACGTCCCTAACACCTTCTTGCAGGTGGGCGATAATGTTATTAATAACCTTTAATAAGTCACTTCACTTTTTTTACTTTTTTCAATACTTGATATCATTATTTGCAACTACGGAGGTCTGAAGAACAAAGTTAGTCAAGCTTAAATTTGTTGATCGCCTCAGTCAAAATGAGATACAATTTTGAAATTCACTAGAGAACTTTAGAACTTTTTTATAGATTGTCTGTTGTTTGTTTGTTTTTCTCTTTCTTTCTGGTTTAAACACTGGTTACATCGAGACCTACTGTCCAATGTGGTTGCTATCCAGTTAGCCAACACAGCAAAAGAAAACAAAAACCAATACGTTTTTTGCTTTATGGGATACCTCGTCAGGACAAAAGTTTTTGACAAGGTGACAAATTATTAATACTAGTTCGACTTTGGCGCCTGTTATTGTAAGCGACATAGACAGAGCCAAGTCCGTGATTCTGGCTATCACTCTTACTGACCAAAATAGTGGTTATATACCTGCCTGATCACGAAACATTCCCAATGTCTTGCATGTTAAATTGTGTTTTCATGTAATTTGGGTGTACTCCGCGTTTTACCGTGGAAGCCTTAGAACGGCCTTGATGCAGATGAACAGAAGCTTCTTAAACGGAAAACAGAAAATGTTTAGCCTCCTTTTGTTTGTCGAACATTCACGCTGGATACGTTAAATGTTTACATTTTATTTCACTGCCTAAAGTTTCACAAGGAGAGCATGACGTGGGAGCGTGTTATAGATTTTGTTACATGTGGTTGTAGAAACACCTTGTAACAATAAATAAGGCCAGGCATACTTCCTTCCAGGCCTTTAATTGGCTGTTTATTTGAGCTGTAAACATGCAACTCGCACAAGGATTTTTCTTGAGTGTGTTTATGGACAAAGTGGCAGTATCACTACCCTGTCACCACCCCAATAAACCCTGATATGATTGTCCTCTGAAACTGTTCCAAACGTCACAAAATGTTTTGTTCCCTTCTGGAAATTCTTTCACAGATATGGATGTTTTGCCTCAGAGTATCACCCTCCTAATCTTCTCTTACTTACCATACGAATTTGTCCGGAATACAGCATCACTGGTGTGTAAAGCTTAGCACGAATTGGCATACGAAAAAAACTTGATTAAGTATGCGGGACGTAAAGATTTATCAGAAATTAAAGCCAGAGATTCTTCGAAAGAGACTGTGGATAACTTCCTTCAAGCCGTGAAGCGGAGGCCTCGTATGTTCCACAGCACAGATTTGTGTGGTGCCACGACAACATGGAAAACGTTTGGAGAAATAGCATATAACTGCACTGAATTGAAAATTTTGAACAAGGGTAGAACTAAGGGTGAAATTCTTGAATACCCACTGATTCAAGCAACCAACATGGTAGAACTAAACTTAAGCGAGACTCTGATAAATGACCAGTTGTTTGTTTTGATATCTAAAAGCGTTCCAAAGTTAAGCATATTGAAAGTTTCGAGGTGTTATAACTTGACTAATTTAGCAATTGAAAAACCCTCATTTCCATCCTTGCGCTTTCTTGGAATAGCATATTGTATGTTCAGCATCGAGGCAATAATTTGTGCCATCGACAAGCATGGTATATTTGCCATATGTGTGAGGGGAATCAAACTGCAAAATGAAGACATAAGTCGCCTTATAGAATTCTACCCTAATGTAGCTGATATCGGCATTTCCACTTTGTGTGGCTTGCCAGAAGGAACTGTTTCTCAGGAGGAATTACCACAGTTGTGCCCTTGTTGCTGCAGTTCGTCTCTTGCCACCATTTTATCAGCTAAAGATGCCAATGATGGTAGCTGGATGGAACTCTAAAATTACATTTATGAAAATAGCCTCTCTCTTATAGTTTACAGGTTCTACTGAAAAGTTATTTTGATTCTTTGTAAGGGCAGTTGAATATTTTCAGAAACTGCTCCAGCGGATCACAACTGAGTTATTAAATTAATAAACTAAATCTTCAGAAAACGGTAGTGCATTTACATCTGTAGTCTTAGTTTCTGGGAATCCATATGTCTGGCGATGTCCACATGTCTTGCATTCAAATTACTCCATTTTCATGCAACAAGTCTAGATATAAGGTACATATCGGGACTCTGTGAAACTCATTGCCAACACGATTTTGCGAATTGCATGCTATTGATCGAAGAGATAATGACCTCCGCTGTCCGTGTTGACAAGTCAAGTAAATTATACCAATTCTAGAAAGTAAGTCCGTGATTTTGATGTTGCGCGTAAGAAGCTTTCCCCTTAAGTGTAATAACGACTCAGCAGTTTTCCTTCTACTCCTCTGTTGATAGACGTTTCTTGAAGCAATGACAACGAAGCATCGGACACAGCTGACGAGACGCCCACTGAGTAGCGCAACTTCTATTCCTGGAGGCAACAATGAAGATACCACTTCTGATCAGAATTCCACAGATGACGATTTTATTACCCTTATAAAGCCATTTTTACAGAGTGGATGTGATTGTCACTATGGGAAAAATCAAAGCGTGTGCACCAAATCTTTCGATTTTGACGAGGTGGTCAAGCCTCGTATGCAATGTATTAAACTTTCCTCTGTAGAACTTGATCTGGTGATACTGGGAGCATTACAAAGTCATGTGAATTTCTCCAATTCTCCAAAAAAATGCCATCGGATAAGTTACTTTTTCCGCGGTGTTGAAGTATGTAAGAAAACATCTCTCTTTGTGTATGGCATAGGCAAATCACGACTGGAAAGCTTAAAAGCTCATTATAAGAGACATGGAATAGTTCCAAGAACACACGGTAACACTTCACAACTGCCTAAAAACACCCTTAATCATGAAGTCTTGGACCGAACTGTCACATTTATAAAAAACTTTGCTGCTGACCACGCAGTTGCCCTTCCAGAAAGAGCTCCACACTTAAATAATTTGAAAGTTCAGCTGCTTCCTTCATCTGAAAGCAAAGCATCTGTCTGGCGACAGTGCAGAAAGGTATCGGAAGAGAAACATTTGAACGCAGTAAGCTACAGCAAATTTGTTGCCCTCTGGAACACTTTCACGCCATATATTGTAGCAATGACTCCCGCATCTGATCTTTGCAGTCTCTGCCAGCTTAATAATGCTAAAATAAGTCAAAATGTCAATGTGAGCAACCACGAGAAATGGAAATGTCTCAGTGATCAAGAAATGCATCTGCAAGAAGCAAAATCAGAACGGCCTTTTATGAAAAGAAACATTGCTGCATGTAAAGAGGTGTTACAAGACAGCGTAATCGACCACTTGTCACCCAGGCCCAAAAACTGTTGGGCGAACTTAAATTAAGCACACGACAAGTTGTACGCGTGCAGTACGAAATTGATTGTTGAACGAAAACAAGCAAGCCATGCTTCTCTCGGTCGGGTGAGAAAAAAGTTAACACTATAACTAAGAATTTTTTTCTTACATCTTGTGAAAAAAAATAAACATTGAATGATAATGCAATGATTGCATTACACGTGTTCGAAGGTTTCAGGTTTCTTTTGACGTATGCAAATTTCAGCACAGACAAAATTTTAAATTCTTATTTACTTGTTCATCCTCCAGTGGTCTCTGCTGCTGTCTCAAACATCTTCACTCAATTTTAATTGCACTGAATGCTTTCTTTAACAATAAAGTTTCAGTGCAAGATATTACAATCGTGTTGTCCAAGGTGTACATGTAATGTAATTCAATATTCTGTTCTAAAAATACGCTGGGAAGGCGATGGTGTCATTCCTGTCACTTCGTCAATGCCATCACTAACAGCATCCTCACGCACATTTGTCTTAGTTGATTTTCTTGCTATGAGTCTTCATGAAACAAAAAAAACTTGTCATCCTTTGATCACCACAGCAAAGGGAGAATAGGAAGACTAGCTCGAAGATCTGATATTCTTGACTGATTTTAATAACACTGCAACACGGAGTCGTTTCAGTCTGCATTCACAGGACCAGCTAAATACAAACTAATATCAGTTTGAGAGCAAGTTATGATAGATTTTTATTTAATACGTGGGAACAATGCCGAAAGGAAAGAAGGACCGCAACCGTTTGTTCGTGACAATGCTTTGAATGTCTGCATGTCACTCGTTAGCTGCTTGTTAGTGATTTTTGTGGTTAACATGGAAAAAGCCACGGCGACGAAAGGTGAACAGCCTAAAGTTAACGATTAAATTTTGCATGGTGAAAACTAAATTGGCTGCCGCTACATCTTGGAAATTTAAAAGTTGTAAAATATCAAGTAGATTTCTAAAGTTTAATCTTTTTTAAAGCATTTGCGGCTCGATGAGGACACAGTGCATGTTCATTGATTTCACCGACATATTCAAGGTTCTTGTGTTCTCTTGGGTTGTCTGCACTTTTGTGAATGTTTTTCAATGTGATATTGCTTCACTGAAATGCATTTTAAAAAAATGTATTTTAAAATGTGGTGCAAATGATTCAAAGTGAATTCAAAATGATCTGCAATGCATTTCGTTTTCATTCGTGACCGTTGTCAATGTTTTCAAATGCATTGAAAATGATCTGTTATGCATTCGAACATTTCCAAAATGCGTTGAAATGGAAAAACGGTTCAACGGAGTTTTCGTTAAGCCTGGTTTTCCCAAATAGGGTCACATTTAATAATTTTTTTATAACAATAAGCATATACCATTTTGTTGCTAGATTTCTCAGTTCACACAGATCTCCTCTTCTTTGATCCATATTTCTGATTCTCTTAATTTAAAGCTGTCACGCTTTGTAAATGCTAGCCTTTTGAGAGTTTTCAGTGGTATCCCAAGACAAACCATCAAGTCGCGTATGTGAACATTGGGACTTAATCTAGCGCCATATCCCACTATCGTCCTTGATATTGTCAGAAAGGATAGGCCAGGACTGTTTAATTACTACAACGTCAACGAAGAGGAAGATGAAGAAGAAGATGAAGGACAAGCAGAAGAAAAAAAGAAGAGAACAAGAAGAAACACAGAGGAGAGAATGTTAGTTTTGACCCTGGCGAATCATGCGCCAACGTGAGGCTAGAGGAGGTAGAAAATATCTTAGAAAGTCAAGGACTAGATTGCGTGCCATTCCAAAGTGTCATGAGGGAAATCAAAGCAATGACAACCTTTTATACTAGCGAGTTCAATCACAAGGGATGCCCTGGCAAAATGACAATGAGGATGTTGCTAAAACTCATCAAACTCCTTGTCACTTTCCTGAGTTTCTGAGTGAGTAAGTTGGAGATGACGCCCTCGTTAGCCCTGGAAAAAGACCTGCTGCTCGTAGAGTCTTTCATTGGCCACCTGCGTATGGACAGGTGAATGCAAAATTCCATTGCCGCCTGCTATATTCAATCTTTGGTGACCAAAATTCCTTGGCGCAGACCAAAGGTATGGGGATTTGCGCACTGACACAGCAATGGGAAAGAGCAAAAGCCTTCACAATGTAGTAGTCGTCTCAGACAACAACCCAGTCTGGCTGGTTGAGATGGGCTACAAAACCGCCGCAAAATATGGCCCAAATGTTGTGCAGTTTAATCAAGAGTTTGATTTCCTGACACATCACCTCAGGGAATACAGGACAAGGTCGAGACCAAGACTGCTTTGCAGAGAGAGCAGTCACGACCACTTGAACAAACAAACGAGGCATGCCTTTTTGATCACCAAGCACATATCGACCATTTTAAGAGAAACTTGGGCTTGCCCTGTGGGACAAATGAAATGAGACATGCCCTGGTTGACACTTTCGATCTTCACCTGAAAGTTCCGATGCAAGACTTGCTGAATCTCTTGCGCGTCTTTGCAAACACACTTTGAGAACCCAAATAAGTATTTACGATTGATGAACACATCAGGAGCACAAGTCACAAGCATTATGCTACCTTGTTAAGTCAGCCTTGAATTCTATTTTAGAGGAGCCTCCAACTACCTCAGGAGCAACCTCTTCCGATAACGAACAGGAAGTAGATTCAGATGATTTGCTGTCCCCCAGAGAACTATGCGCGCTCATTCCTTCCGATGTGAATGCAGGGCTCCCACACTTTTTTAGCCAAGGTATTAAAGTACACCCACAACGGAAGAGACGCTCAGTTGGCCTGGCTTCGAGAATTAGGTACATGCCCAAATCATTAGGAATTTCAAGCGGGGACGGATGTTTCACATGAAAAAAAAACAGCTATCCTATCAACATTCACTTCCATCGACTTGAAGGGTTGTACGAGCGTAGGACACCCAAGAGACGCATCTTTATGGTTGTTCGGAAACCATCCACTCAACTGTAGGCATGTCAGAACCATCGTGGAAAGGCAAGGTGATAAAGTTTTTGACTCCCTTTGAATGTCATGGATTGAACGAACTGTCAAATGATTGGCAAACAAATATATCAATAAAAAAAATTATTGAAAACAAAAAACTTTAAGCATGGCCTGTGACTTGCTCGCGCCTTATTGTCTGAAGTCTGAAATTGTCAAACAAAGGCAGACTGCGAGAACTGCGCAATCATGATCTTTTTTCTTCTTCTCTTTTGAATCGTGCTATAACTGTCAAATAATTGCAGACCAAAGGCTAGGCTTTCCGCTGCCGTGGTAAGACCGTTGGTGCGCGTGCCTAACGTCGTCTGTCTTCAGACTGGGCGGAAGGACTCCTGCACATCAGCTGAGACATTGAACGGTGCATGTGGTCGCACGCTAGACACGCTTGAATTAGCATAGCTATTAGCATATACTTTGCATATCTGCCCATGCGCAGTTTTGTTCACATTCTCATCTACCTTGTGGTTTTAGGTTGTCAGCTCGCGTTAGTTTTGATCTCGATTCACGTACAACTTTTGTGCAAACTGTTAGACTCTACTAGTTTGAGAATACAAAAACATGGACTAAAAACAGAACCTCCTCGTGCCTTATTGAACGAGCCTATCCATTAATTCTGGTCCTTCGACCGCCGGATAACTGAAAGGATCGCCCGAAGCAATCACAAATATTCAACACACGATGTCCCATGAGAAGCTGATTCATCAAAGAGGATTAACTAAGCGCAAAGTGACCAACCTCATAAGGAAGATCGACCAAGTAACTGAAAAACCAGACAAGTTGCACTTCGATGTCATCTGCGCCGAACAGTATTTAAATGAAATTTGCACTTTGGACTCACAATTTCAACAACAACATGTGGAAGCGAGCGCCTTGGTTGAACCATCGAACAAAGAACTAATTCAAAAGGATTTTGAGGCGCTGGACGCCCACGATGAACAAGTGCGGGAAAACGTAAGCAGACTTCCGTATTTACTAAGTGTCGCTTCGACTAAGCCACAAGCAACCAAGTCTAACAAAAGCAAAGGCAAAAAAATCGCTCAAAGCAAAATGGAATCGATTGACCGAGAACATAAATGATGCGACTGCAAAGATAATCGAAGCCCAAACCAAACTGGACGAAATGCAAATTGAATACCTCACAGACACGAGAAGTCAGCTTTCTGAATTTGAAAAATCTCTTGATCAGTTCACAACAGTCATTGACTCACTTTCTCCGGATTTAGAAGATGCAGACGGCGATAAATGGAACAATATATCGTATTACTTCGACAAGATCAAAACAACTCAAGACACTTTAGCTCAACTGATAACCGAACGCCGTCGCAATCTAGCTTGTGAAAACCAGGAGCGTGAAATTGAACGTGAACATAAACGAGGCAAAGAAATCAAAGTACAAAATAGCCAGCATTGTGAGGAAATAAGGATAAGGACCGTTCCGTGCCTGTGGGTTGTTCTAGTTGGTGTTGGACTTTTGAAATCTTAAGCACCGCAGCTGAATGGATAACCCATCATAGGCTGCGTACAGAATTTTTCCTGCACCTCTTAGATGATTTTCTTATCATAGCTCCTTCTTATGAGGCCTGTTCACAACATCTGACCATATTTTTGCACCTTTCTTCTTATTTGGGCGTCCCCATGGCAATGGACAAAACAGTTGGTCCATCGACCACCTTATTTTTTGCAGGCATTGAATTAGATTCTCTGTCTATGAAGGACTGCGGACTAGGTATATGGAAACATTTTACATTTTCTTATGAAAAAAAAGGTTAGTCAGCGCTTTTCCCTAAATTCCAGAGAACCTTCAACAAGTTTGCACAGACACAAATGAAGTTTCGAATAATGGGTGGAAGAGACTTACACATTGGGCCAACTGGTGGACTTGCCTGAGACTTTACAAATGTTTGAGAGCCTTCACCAGTAGAGACGCTGATGATTGGGACGAAACTTCAAATATGACTAATCCCGTCGAGTCCATCAACAGGCAGTCTTTTAGATCAAAAAACAACTTGAGTGTTGACTCAGAAACATATACTTAGAGAACAGAATTGATGCCGTGAAAATGGTGGCAGGATTTCAAGACATGACCATAAGTTACCGCGTCATCAACAAAAAAAGGAAGCGGCAGACCCAAAACAAACACACTTGCCACAGGATGCTAAAGGTCCTACTTACAAAGCAAAAGATATCAGGGTAGTGAAGAGGATGCAAAGGACAGGCAAAGGATTGATAAAATCAATCATAGAGGAGGAATACAAAGAAAATAAAGAAGACGGAAACTTGTCTTATCTGGAATTATAGTCAGTAGAGGGGGCTAGTTAGGAAAACTGGAAAACTTCAAAGGAGTAGGTTATTGTTTAACTTTATCCAGGTCTTAGAGCATGGTCTAAAGTAAGATTTAAATTTTAAGATCGTTTAGATTAAAATATGTGTTCTTTGACGACAGCAAACAATGGAGCAGCAGGAGGATATCAATAGAAAGCTGGATAATTTTCATTAATCAAAGTCAGTCTCTATTTATCGATATTTTTACCTGTTGTTATACAGAGGCAGAAGCTCAATGCTGCATGGAAGAAAAAAAAGTACGTTAAGGTGAGTATGTACGGCCGCATTTTTGGTCATTTTGATAACACTTCACAAGTTCTCTTGCTTTTTTTAATTTAAGCCTCAATGCATGCATGAATGCATGTAATGTTAATAGCTCGTTGTGATTACACTGTAAGTAAAGTGTGTTTAATAATGACACGTGGCCAGTCAAAGTTTTCCAATCTGCATTTTTTACAGACCTTCTTATCTTCACATTTGCTTCTACGTACGGTCATTATAAAACATGGACTGGGGACTGCGGACTAGGTATGAAACACAGACTAATTGGTTCTAGGTAAGATAAATTAAGATCAAAAGGTCATTAAATAGCACAGCACACGAGTATAAGACAATTATAAATTCCTCATTAGTCATGTCCTCAAGGCTGAAATGGAATTGTTGCAACTTAATAAGAATTTCACCCTCACTAACAACAATACTATTTTTTTATTCCATGTCTCTCAATCTCATATGTTCTATTGGTTTAAAAGAGAGCGAGAGCAACCCCCCTCCCCTCTCCCTGGGTTATTAGGTGCAACCGCAGTTTTCGCAACAAATGATTGTTTATTGGTGTATCAATGTGTGTCCTTCCTTGTGATAGTAATTCAAAAACAATAATCAGGCTTCCACAGCATGAAATCGAGCAGTAAGTTGAATCACAGCAGAGACGATTTGGTAGCAGAAGCATAAGCGATGAGAAGTATTTTTGTGACCCTTATAGTGAGTATGTGTTTCTTTTGAGTAAGATGGGTGAATGTTTGTGCTGGTATTACAAGATATCAATCCTCAATAATACGAGTTTACGTGTTTAGTGTCTGATAGCTTTTTACTTCACCAACAGTTTAATTCAACATGCCCTCAGAAAATGGTGAAGAGGGCAGACGGCAGACAATACAAGTGTTGTTGTGGTGTTCTTTGATGACGAGGCCGACATTGAACCGCCGGGGAAAAAATGAAGACCCGGCATCCACGACAGAGATATAATATTTAAATAATAATATTTAAATAGTATGTAAATACAGTATAAATACATAATACAGTATTATTGAACTGTCTGTCGTCTGACTCTAAGAAATATATCTTCTTTGCAGTAGTGCGACATCTGAATATTCAGACATGATATGATGATGATAGGTGGTTTAATAGCCTTGGGAGGGTAATAACCGTTCTAAGAAGACACCCAAATGATACCCTGTGATGACAATAGCTCATTGCCTCATTAATACGTCGCTTTTTCAATACTGTTTCCCTTTTATATCAAGATACAACCATGCAGTTTTTTGCTGCTTGTAAACTCAAAACTTTGCTATGTGACTCCCGCCACCACAGAAGATTACTCTTCATGCTATAACATACATGAATTAACCCTCGGATGTGGATGCAACCAGCCCCACGGTTTTCTTAATTTTCCCAAAAAAGTTTCCTGTTTATTTTAGACCTAGTCCGTTTATCTTTGACATGCATTATATAGGAGATAGATATAGGAGATAGATATAGATATAGGAGCCAAAAATGCGGCGTGGCTTACTAGTTGATATGAGCTACGAAAGAATTATGCCCTTACCAGCGACCATCCCGAGGGGGGAGGGAGGTGAACCCCCGGTCATTTGCACAACGACCTTTAAAAATATCCCCTGTCCAAAACCAAGATTGTTCAACAAAAAGCTTCTAACGCCCCTCCCCTGGGGGCAAAGAAGTGTACTCTGCCAGTTCAAAAGGTGCAATATTTCAAGAGTTCTATAAAAGATTTCGAAGTTTTCTTCCGAGAAAAATAGTCGCTATGTAAGCGAAGGATAGCCAGCTAAAAGGAACAGAATACAAGTAAAATAAAGTCATTTACCGTCTTGTTGGTCGCCATTTTGCCAGAACGTGTTCACCAACATAACCAGTCCTTTCACAGATGGGAACAGCACATTGTTTCCAGCTTCATTTGCAAAATGGCGGCAGCGGCGCTACAAATCCCATGGGTCTTCCCCCGGGAATCCTGCTACGAAAGTGCCAAAGCAATCCAATCCCCACATCCCGGGCTTAAAATTAACGAACAAACTGACAACTCCAGCACCAAGCCCACGTATGTCCCCAAGGTAACCCCCCCCTCCCCCTGAAAACACTGAAAAATGTTAAGCCTGCCTGGGAACTTAAACAGGCCCCCAGCAGCGTCATTTCAATCTCATATAATCTATTGGTTTAAAAGAGAGCGAGAGCAACCCCCCTCCCCTCTCCCTGGGTTATTAGGTGCAACCGCAGTTTTCGCAACAAATGATTGTTTACCGCTGTATCAATGTGCATCCTTCCTTGTGATAGTAATTCAAAAACAATAATCAGGCTTCCACGGTATGAAATTGAGCAGTAAGTTGAATCACAGCAGAGACGATTTGGTAGCAGAAGCATAAGCGATGAGAAGTATTTTTGTGACCCTTATAGTGAGTATGTGTTTCTTTTGGGTAAGATGGGTGAATGTTTGTGCTGGTATTACAAGATATCAATCCTCAATAATATGAGTTTACGTGTTTAGTGTCTGATAGCTTTTTACTTCACCAACAGTTTAATTCAACATGCCCTCAGAAAATGGCGAAGAGGGCAGACGGCAGACAATACAAGTGTTGTTGTAGTGTTCTTTGATGACGAGGCCGACATTGAACCACCGGGGAAAAAATGAAGACCCGGCATCCACGACAGAGATATAATATTTAAATAATAATATTTAAATAGTATGTAAATACAGTATAAATACATAATACAGTATTATTGAACTGTCTGTCGTCTGACTCAGGGGGGGGGAAGGTGAATAATGAATAATGAATAACTGGTTTAAAAGTAAATGAATAATGAAATATTTGGGGTTACAAATCTGGAATTATGAATAACAGTGCCTCGGAATGATGAATAACTCACACGTGTTAAATGATCCCATAAAAATGGAAGATGAAAGAAACAAGTTCAGCCCGTCACAAACATAGGAATCTGTGCAAACAACTGAAATTTGAGAGTAAATGCACTTGAGAGATACTTTATGGCACTGTGTCTGCTGGCTCTTGGTGCAACAACATTCTACATCTTAATTTTGTTTAGATTCATTTTATAGAAATATTTTATCATTTCAGTTTGTTGTCACAAATGTAGAGGGTATGGCAATATGGCGATGTTATTGGCTATGAAGACTCGTAATCAGTAACTGGTGTGAGTCTTCATAGCCAATACATCATGGCTTAAATGACAGACGACCAATAACATTGCGACATAATTGACCTATCAGATCAATAACTAGAGTATAATACCATCACCTGACGTGATACAACTCACTTTGACTCTGAGGATGACTACTGCACAGGTTGTCGAAATGTCAGTCACTGTCAACAACAACAGTCCTATTCAAGACTACATTCACCCGGACAATCAATTCAACCTACTTTTGAAACGACTCCTGGGTTCAAACCTTTCACATCCTTGATACTATCGACACAAAGTATGCGTCAAGCAAAATTTCAGTTGATGAAAGTGAAGAACAAACACAGAAATTCAAGAGCAAATATTTCTAGGAGGGGACCAATTGACAGAAGAACGTGCAAGAAATGCTAAAGATGCAAGGGGCGATGGTGATTCTTCATGTGATAGGTTGGAGGGTGTCATAAGCAAGATTGAAGACTGACATGCAATCTGTTTAGCCTATCAGGTAAGAACCTCGGCCAATTAACCAGCAGTAGATGATGAAGAAATTACGGTATTTCTTCGCCTATAAGCCGATCTCAGCTATAGGCCGCGACCCTGAAAGTCAGGGTCTTTCTGCTAGACTCAAGCTGCCCCCCCAAAAAAGTAAAACCATCGGCTATAAGCCGAGAGCGAAATTATTGATTGTCACTGGCAATTTGAGCAAGCGAACCTTACGGAAAACATAAGAAA